AATGTGTCTTTCTCACAGCTCATTCCGTTGTAACTTCGAGTTCGCAAATTCTTTGTGCAAAACATCTAACTTCTATTTCTTTAACTGAACTTGATTTCAATTCCCATTGTGCTGGGTGTCAGAATCTTAATTATGTCAGGTAATTAAGCAACCTCTTCTCCCTTCTTACCATAGACTAGGGGAGAGAGTCGAGGCCCCAGATGGGACTGGAGTATTCTCAGTCCGAACAGTGAACACAGAGTCACCCTCAATCCTCTCTATTCTCGCGGTCTTGAGGGGCCACTGCTACCTCCTCCCGGTCCTGACCTTGAGGCTTCTCAGCACTAGCTTTCTCTGAATTCCTTCTGTGCACAAGTGAATCATTCAGCTTCTTCCTGAACCAATAAGGATTTCTCGCCCAGGTACTCCTGTTCCATGGTTACTTGACTGTTACTGCACCATGCTTGACCCCGAGGGGAACTCTGTGAAGCTCACCACCTCCCCCAGCTTCCCAAGGGAGAAAGACACACGTACCCTCCCCTCTGAGACCTCCAAACCTGTGTGGGTGTCTGTCATCACTACCACCCCTGCCTCGTACCCGTGCACACCCGAGGACTGTGTCAGGAGAGGCGGATGCGTTGATGTCTAAGCGTTCTTGCATCCTTAACTTGGAAACCGGAAAAGCATGTTCTTTTCTTTGATCTCTGGATGTTTCATTTTGTTTTTTTGTCATCTCCATCTTTCGATGCCTCATGCAATGAATTGTGTGTGGGAGGAAGGGAGAGGCAAACATGTACAAGGACACAGAGGTATCCTGGGAGAAACTGTGACTCTTACTATAAAATATGAATCTCACGCACTTCTTTAGCACCTTGTACTTTATTTTTATTTATTTATTTTTATTTTATTTTTATTTTTTTGAGGCAGAGTCTCACTCTGTCACCCAGGCTGGAGCGCAGTGGTGCAACCTCAGCTCACTGCGACCTCCGCCTCCTGGGTTCAAGCAATTATCCTGCCTCAGCCTCCTGAGCAGCTGGGAATAGAGGTGCCTGCCACCACGCACGGCTATTTTATTTATTTATTTATTTATTTATTTATTTATTTATTTAGTAGAGACAGTGTTTCACCATGGTGGGCCTCAAACTCCTGACCTCAAGTGATCTGCCAGCCTCGGCCTCCCAAAGTGCTGGGATTACAGGCATGAGCCACCACACCCAGCCAAAACATGGATGTCTAATGGGATAATTTCAAGTACTAGAGCAAGCTAATTGGGAGAATCAATGGCAAGGAGCAGTAGCAATCGTTTATGAAATCATGATGAGGTGCTGGCAGCTGATGCACACTCACAGTCCCACTTAATTTTTCAAGTGAAATTCCCACTTGGGAGGAATTTACTATGAGCCATTTTCCAGATAAGAGATAGAGACGAGAGAGTCTCTACCTCTTCTTTGGTGCGAGGAGATTGGTGCAGTCGGTGAATGGCAGAAGTGGATATGCACCCAGATCTATCTCAAGTCCAAACTCCAACTCATCACTTCCCTAAATGTGGTCTATTCTGCCAGGCTGGATAAGGGAAGTGGTTCTGCTTCCAAACTTAATATGTGACAGATGAGGCAACCTAAACCAAAGTCTTCTTGAGTTTGGCCAAACCATATGCTGCTAAGGCTCAAATCCAAATAACCGTAACAAGCCGTCCCAACTATGCCACAACCCACATGACTCAAAGGCAAGGGAATCCCAGGCGACAAGGTCCAGGAACAGGCACTCTGGGGAGTCTGCCGCCTCTGATCGTGCTCCCGTGGCACACACAGTGCCCCATCTGCCTCCAGACCTGCGCTGAAGAAATGGGGGGAAGGGGCAGACTTTGTAAATGTAGGTGATCCAATGGTCACTTGAGGCCTCTCAAACAGGGACTCTGTAGATGATGTTAATGGGCCAGATGGAATGCACATCTGCCCCTAAATGTGTTTCTTTTTTTTTTTTTTTTTTTTGAGACAGTGTCTTGCTCTGTTGCCCAGGCTGGAGTGTAGTGGTGCAATCTTGGCTCACCGTAACCTCCACCTGCTGGGTTCAAGTAATTCTCCTGCTTCAAGCCTCCCAAGTAGCTGGAACCACAGGCATGTGCCACCATGCCTGGTAATTTTTTGTATTTTAGTAGAGACAGGGCTGGTCTCGAACTCCTGCCCTTAAGTGATTCACCCACTTTGGCCTCCCAAAGCGCTGGGATTACAGGCATGAGCCACCGTGCCCAGCCTTGTTTCTTTCTAAATGAGACTTCCTTTGTGTCTTTACATTTCCTTCTACAAAAAAACTATGCCATGTGGACACAGGGGCTTATGCCTATAATCCCAGCACTTGGAAAGCCCAAGGCCAGTGGATCACTTGAGCCCAGGAGACCAGCCTGGGTTAACATAGTGAGACCCCAGCTCTGTGAAAAATTTAAAAATTAGCCAGCCATGGTGGCACGCACCTGTGGTCCCAGCTATTCAGGCGGCTGAGGTGGAAGGATCTGTTGAGCCCAGGAGTTCCAGGCTGCAGTGAGGTACGATCTGGCCACTGCACTCCAGCCTGGGCAACAGAGCAAAGTGCTGTCTCAGAATAAAATACTTTTTAAATAAACTAAAAACTCAATGGGCCAAGTGTGGGTGGCTCACATCTGTAATCCTAGCACTTTGGGAGGCCAGGTGAGGCAGAATAGGGAATGAGGGTAAGGTTAACCTTAACCAAGGGTTAAGGCATAAACAAAAGAACAGCAGGTGCAGCCAGTTCTAGGCAGGATTAGGCAGCGTAGAGGCCACGTGCTCATTCCGTCAATCAGACACTGATTCAGTCAGTGAATCAGAGTGGGGTGGGGTGTCAGACTCTGATTGACGGGGGGGGGGGGGGGGACGCGGGGTGTGTGCCACAAGTCTCCACTGCAACCTCTGATTGGTCACAGGCCAATCCTTCAGAGGGTGTAACCAATTGGAGGCCTCTAACGGGCACCTAGGGGCGTTACCTAATTCTAATAGCTTAATAAATTCTAATAGCTTAATAATGAGGGCTATTGAGCCGTTTGCTCTATCTCGCTCCTGCTCTGTAAATTGTACTTTCGCTTTAATAAATCTGTCTCCTCCTTACTCGGGTTTGTTTTTTGTCTTTCGTTGCTTTGTTTTTTTGTTACTTTATTTGTGCATTTCGTTCAATTCTTTGTTCAACACGCCAAGAACCTGGACAATCCATGGTCAAGACCTTCCATCCAGTAACAGAGGCAGGAGGATCCCTTGATGCCAAGAGTTCGAGACCAGCCTGAGCAACAAAGTGAGACCCTGTCTCTATTTTATTTGTTATATATATATATATATATTTTATAACTATCTGGGCATGGTGGTGCATGCCTGTGGTCTCAGCTACTCCTCGGGCTGAGGTGGCAAGACGCTTGAGCGCCTAGGAGTGAGGCCTGCAGTGAGCGCTAGTGATTGGCACCACTGCATTCCACCTGGGTCCAAAGCGGAGATCTGTCTCTAAATTAATTAAAACAATATCTACCCAAAGACAACCAACAGGTGGGCGTGGTGTCTCAAGCCTGTAACGAGGACCTTTGGGAGCACCGACGTGGACCATGTTGAGGTCAGAGTTCGCGGGCAGCCTGGGCAACATGTGAGGACTCTCACCTCACAAAAATAAAACTGGCCTTGTGCGCGCGCCTGTCATCCTAGCTACTTGGGAGGCTGAGGCGGGGGCGATCGCTTGCTCCCGTAAGGTTGAGGAACTGCGTGGAGCTGGAGCATCGCGCACTACACTCCAGCCTGGATGACAAACTGGACCCTATTAGAAAAAAAAAAAGTGCCCCGCTCACTTGTTTTCAGAAACGCGCAGCCCTCGCCTGTCGACCGGAGGTGAACGCCGCGAGCCAGCCACCCCACATACTCCGCCAGGAAATCCGGACCAGCCCACCCCAAGGGGGGTACCAGAAGCGGACCCGCGCGCTGCCAGTTCTTCTTCCACGGGCTGGCGGCGAGCGCTTCCGGGCGGCCGGCGCGAGGGAGGTGGAAGTGCGGTGTCCTGGCAGGTGGCTGTGCTGTGGGCCCGACGCCGTGGGAGGCTCCCCGAGGTGTGCGCCGGGTCGGATGGCTGCGCGGCGGCCGGGCCGGGAGCGGGCCTGGGCTGCCCAGGGGAGCGTTCCCGCCGCGCTTGCTGAGTTTCTTCATCTCAACCCGCCTTCGGGCCGCGAGAATGGAGAGGTATCGGCGAAGTGGGTGGCGCGCGGAGTCGGGTGCCCCCGGGGAGGCGGTCCTGTGGTTCTGCCCACCTCGAGCGGCACAGACCTAGCCTGCGTTGCGCCAGGTGCGAGTCCGAGCCAGGGACTGCGGCGGGGACCTGACAGCAGGCAGGGACCGCTTCAGGTCCTGGGTCGATGCCTGTCTATGGAATAAAGCCCTGTCGGGTCTGTCACTCCACACCCCAGGTTGAGGCTGTTTGCGCTTTGCTTTGCGTCACTTCTGGGAAATAAACATTGAACTTGGCTTTGTTAAGTGGTTAGTCTCCAGCTAGAAGCGTGGAAGCAGAGTGGCAGACGCTAGCCCTCAAGCGATGCAAGCCTGGAGGACCCTGTAAAAGTTTTCGGCCAAATGAGAGAGAGAGAGAGAGAGAGAGAGACACAGAGAGAGACAGACTGTAATCCCATCACTTCCGGAGGCCGAGATGGGACGATTGCTTGAGGCCAGGAGTTCCAGACCAGCCTGGGCAACATAGGAAGATCCCCATCTCTTACTCACCCCCGCAAAAAAAAAAAAAAAAAAAATCGAAAAATGAGCCAGGAGTGGTGGAACGCACCTGTAGTTCCAGCTACTCAGGAGGCTGAGGCCAGAGGATCGCTTGAGCCCGAGTGGTTGAGGCTGCAGGGGAGCTGTAATTGCGCCACTGCACTACAGCCTGGGCCACAGAGACCACATCTCCAGAAAAAGAAAAAAAAAAACTTGTTAGTTCAAATGCCTGGGACCTGGCTGGATTTAATTTTCAGGGAGCTGTGTGTCTGCAGATGTGCACACCTTTATTTCTTACAAGCATTGGTGTATTACAAATTAGCACTAGGAAAGAAATCTAGAGACTGAGTTTTCATAGAAATTACCTGGTGCTGCTTCAGATATAACGTGACTTATTGAATATCGAAACTGCCTTTCTGGCTGGTGGGCAGTATTTGCACATGACGAGATAATTCCTGTTTTTCTTATTATTTTTAGTAATAGAGACAAGGTCTCACTGTGTTGCCCAGGCTGGTCTGGAACTCCTGAGCTCAAGTGATCCTCCCGCCTCGAGCTCTCAGAGTGCTAGAATTACAATACCTGTGTTTCTAAAACTGGTCTTTGTTTTGTTTTGTCATTAGCATGTGTGACACAAGAGGTCGACATTGAACTTACCGTTTTCAGTAGCTAAGATGAAATGTTTATATTAATGTGCTTCTGTTTCTTCATGTTTCAGGAGGAAAATAAGATTTTATTTTATCATCCAAATGAGGTAGAAAAGAATGAAAAGATTAGAAATGTCGGATTGTGTGAAGCTATTGTACAGTTCACAAGGTAATACCTTTAAGTGTGCCTTTTAGAGTTCAGTGAATTCTTAAAACTTCTGCTGGAGAATTGTCTCAAACATATTTTTTTAACCTTTGTAGGACCTTTAGCCCATCAAAACCTGCAAAATCTTTACATACCCAGAAGAATAGACAGTTCTTCAATGAACCAGAAGAACATTTCTGGATGGTCATGGTATTTACATACACGGTGTATCTTTCTGAAATTGTACGGTGAAGTTATGGGTGATCTTTACTATTCAGAGTTTGGGAAAGTTCTCTGGCTATTGCGTCCAAGTAACATTAAAATAAAATTGGTTGTAATTTTAAAATCAAGTTCTTCCTATTTGCTTTATTTGTTCTTGGGGCTGTTTTAAGAAGTTGTGTTTCTGGTGCTATAGCATGTTCAAAGTTTTTAAATTAAGGCAAAATAAAAAACATGGTATAATGAATTCATTGTATAATTTCAGTTTATCAAACTTTGCAGGTTGTTCGGAATCCTATAATTGAAAAACAGAGTAAAGATGGAAAACCAGTTATTGAATATCAAGAGGAGGAGTTGTTGGTAATGTGTCATTATTTGTTTATTTATTTTAAATGTATTACTGAGTATGTTGAATCCCTCAATTGGCCGTATTGAAACTCGGTGGCTTTTGCGAAAGTTTCTCAGGGTATATAGCAAAGGTTTATGTTTATCGTTTACATGAGCACAGTCTTTTTAAAATGTATATGCACCCTATCTCACTAATACCTTCTGCTCTTCATCTACATTGAAAGCCCTCCTAAAGTAAGGCTTACTAAGTCACAAATTAGAATTTAAACACTTCTGGCTGGAAACAGTGGCTCACACCTGTAATCCTAGTACTTTGGGAAGCCGAGACGGGCAGATCACTTGAGGTCAGGGGTTCAAGACCAGTCTGGCCAATATGGCGGAACCCTGTCTCTACTAAAACTATAAAAATTGGCCAGGAATGGTGGCGCACACCTGTCATCCTGGCTACTCAGGAGGCTGAGGCAGGAGAATCGCTTGAACCGGGGAAGCAAAGGTTGCAGTGAGCTGAGACTGCACCACTGCACTCCAGCCTAGACAACAGAGTGAGACTCCATCTCACAAAAGAAAAAAAAAGTAAACACTTTTTCAGCACACAACTATTGTGGGACCAAGTTGATAAACATTATACCGTTTGGCCAAGAGTCAGTGTAGCTTTGCCATCTCTCCGATAGACATTGTTTTCCCTCGAATTGAGATCTGTGCTGTGTTTTTGTGTTTGCAGGACAAGGTTTACAGTTCAGTGCTACAGCAGTGCTACAGCATGTACAAGGTAAGCCTGGCATTCGTTTTGAACCGAGAGTCCAACCAGTTACCCCTGTTTATATAGGCTCCAGGGTTGTTTATATAGGCTCCAGGGTTGTTTAAAGAGAAATGTTTCAGTGACTGCAAAGTGACTGTGTATTTCTCTTAGAGAAGAAAATAATGAGGCCTTGGAAACAGGTAGTGAGGTTTATGCCCACATTTATTCAGCAAGTATTGAACTCCCTTCTCTCTCTCAGCCTCAGAGTGGGAATGTGTCCCCACTGATGAAAACGTGTGTCTCTGTCCTCAAGGAACGTACAGAATGCAGATAATTTTATGATTTAAACATTTCAGTGAGGCAGGGCACAGTGTATCACACCTGTAATTTCAGCATTCTGGGAGGCTGAGGTGGGAGGATTGCTTGAGCCCAGGAGTTCAGGACCAGTCTGGGCAATATAGCAAGACCCCATCTCTACAAAAAATGTTTGTACAAGTTAGTCAGGTGTCATGGTGCATGCCTGTAGTCCCAGCTACTTGGGAGGCTGAGGTGGGAGGATCGCTTGAGCCTGGGAGGTCGAGGCTGCAGTGAACTATGATTGTGCCACCGCACTCCAGCCTGAGTGACAGAACGAGATTCCGTCTCAAAAAAAAAAAAGGGATAAAAATGGTGATTCCGTTCATTGAAAGAAAACTGAAAAATAAAAATTTGGGTGATATTATTTATATAAATTGAAACTTCAGGGTGAGTTGAAATTTTTGAAAGATGCCCAGAGCAATTAGGCAGTTTCATATATAAGACAGCATCACTTAACAGTATTTTTTTGTAACTTATATTTTTAACTCAGCTTTTCTCATGTAAATATTTTTTCTGTTGAAAAGAACTGGGAGATTTAATGAGCTGAATTAATCATCTAAAGGAGAAAAAGAACTTGTTCTACTGAAAAAGTGAGCATAGGAAATTGATTTTTTTTTCTGCCGTCTTTTACCTCATAGCTTTTTAATGGAACATTTCTGAAAGCCGTGGAAGACGGAGGCGTCGAGCTTCTGAAAGAAAGATTAGAGAAATTCTTCCATCGGGTAAGTACTTTGAATTTCGTTTATAACTTTAGTGAGCATTCAGCAGATTTTTAGAGAAATATGGACAGACAAGTTCGTTTCTTACGTACAAAAAACCCAGAACTTGAAAGTGGCAAAGAGCCTGAGACAGACCGTCGTAAAAGTGGAGCAGCGAGGAGGCGCGTGCTCTGGACCCTCCCTCCAGCTGTAAGGCAGAGCTTCCTGCGTTCGCCGGGGCTCTTAAAGAGTCCTGGAGTCATCTTCGGCCTCCTTGTGTTTTACCTGCGTCTGTCCTGGGCTTACTCAACAGCCGTCTTTTGTGTGATGGATCAGTTGATAAGGAAAACGTGATTATTGGAGTTGGACATTGTTAGGGATGGGCTCTGTTCACTGAACAGGCATAAGCTGTGTCAATGCAGGAAGAGTTACTGGCTGTGGGACTGTGTCAGATGAGCCATTAGGGACATTTGTCCCAAGTGCTGTTCTTCCATTGTAATGGAATTGTGCATATTTCACCTGACCTTGTCAAGCTCAGTTTATCTTTTTTTTAAAAGGAAACAAAAAAAGAGACAGGGTCTTGTCCTGGCTGTTTTGCCCAGGCTGGTGTCAAGCAATCTTCCCTCCTCGGCCTCCCAAAGTGCTGGGGTTAAAGGCATGAGCCAACTCGCCCAGCCCAGTTTCCCTTGAAGAAACAATTCTCAATCTATTTTCTTCTGAAAATACCTTCTGTGTCTATTGTTGAGTTCAACTTTTCTCTCTAAAACAGTTTTCTTAGCTATTTTTGAATTTTTTTGTTTCTCTGAATTACTTTGTTTTGTCATTTTAATGACCACAATTATCCACTCGCATATTATCTCCTGGTTTCTGTTCTTGTCCTCATTTCTCTTACCCATCGACATACGGATACAACTGTTGTCCTGACTACATATCATTTAGACCTGATTTTAGTATAAGATGGCACTCT